TTTTCAAGATGGCCTGATTTTTACAGGACAGTTGATGTCAATAAATTCAAAAAAAATTTTTTTTTGAAGAAAAGCAAAAGAAAGGGGAAAAACTGAGATGAGAATTAAACCTCAGGATAAAGGTACAGTGAATGTTTAAAATTGCGTAAATGTCCTAAACCAGCCTTGAATTTTTATAATCACTGCTGCGTTACAATATGGCATCTCCGGATCGAAACTGTTGTTAAACGGCAATTTTTACGCCCTCGGATGGGAACAGAAAAAGTGGCTTCTGCATTAAACTGTACATATATATATTTGTACTTTTTGTTGTCATAGGAGAGTAAGGTCAGTTGAAGACTTGTATAGAAAACCAATTGTCGCCTTTTTTTTAGATAGGCAAGGAAGGTTAAGGCAAAACAACGGACTATCAGTCAACATCACCAATTTGGTATTTCATCGCTGATGATACTGACCCAGCAAACGTAGTACTTGCACTCTTCATTATCTGTTGTCCTGTCTTATGTTTTTCATTTCGCTCAATAATTCATCCACTTTGTTCAAAATATTCGAAGTGTAATTCCACGGTTTGAGATCAGGTGCTTAAAAGAGGCGTAAAGAGTGGATAATTGGCTTGTATTCCGCAGAATTACGATAATTTTTAGTATTTGCAGTTGCAAGAATCATTCATTTTAACATGTGAAATTACTGATTCAACTTCAGAATTAATTAACAGGAAAAAGTCTTCTAGACGCTTGCTTTGAACCGGAAACAGAACAGTGCCATAAAACACTGACCGCTTAAATTCCTATAATTCCCATAATTGCGATGTCATTAACGAGTTCAAAATTGGACTTCAAATACTTGAGGAGAAAGTAGCAATTACGGAGGTTTTATCCTTAACACGCCACAATTAAAGAAAAATTTGAATTTTTCACAGAAATGCACTTTTGTTTTCTTCTTTTTTTGTTTGAACCTCACTTGAAACAGCAGTGTTCAAATTTAAAGTCATAGCGATAAAACGATTAAAAAGAGTTTACGGATACGCTGACTACAGTGAATCTCCAACAATTTTTTTTTCTTTTTGTAACAGCGGGTTAGAGAACAGTGTGTGGTGATTGATGTCTGTGAGTGGTTTTCAGTGGTTATTCAGTGTTTGGCGCTTATTCTATTAGTACAACAAAGCAGCGAATTAAAAATGAAAATTCACTTCCAACTGGCTGTTGCAGGACCTTACTTTTACAGTACAAGTCAAACAAATCTAGATACATTTTAGTGCAGCGATTCAGCCAATATCGGACGATTGACCTGCACCGTAGTGTCTAGATACTTGGACAACGACTACGGATTTAGTCTCAACAGTGCATTGCAGTACCTGTTCAGTTTTATCATGCCCGCACAGAGCCAGTATTGCTAGTAAATAAGCACAAATGAAATACTAGAAATTACGATGGTTCGAATTTAAATGCAATTTCATTTTCAAATTCGTCTCAACAGCCTAGTAGAATCGAAATTTTTTAATCCAAAATAACAATTTTTTCCTTTACTTTTCATTTTTGTGAGAACTTCAAAAAGCTTAAAGTTTAACGATTT